GGTCGAAGATTAAAAATCAAGGTACAGTTAAGTGTATTTCGGTTTTGTCAATCGAGTTTAATATAAATTATAATTCAACTCCAAAATAATGAAATACTTACAGAGCCTCCAGTTGAGTGAGATTGGAAAGGGAAAATGGGATCTCTCCTGTTAACTCGCTGCTGCTCAAGTTCCTGCTTTCACAATTTTATGAGAAATTATATGGATAATTTGGGACAAGGACGGGTTTGCTACGTTAAAATGATGCACTCACAGCAAAATTATTCTTGGGGGATTACTACGGCTGCATTTTAAACCATTCCATACAGAAATTGCGGGCAAACATGGATCGCCTTGCCAGTCACTGTTCAATAGTTTGAACGTCTTCTTGATATCCATTACGGCATTAACTATACATATTTGCCAAAAAACAATTACGAAAAATTGAATTTGAACACGACTAGTGTTTTTGTAATGAACAAAAATTTGAAGGAAAAAAGGGAGAGAACATATACCGTCCTGTAGGGATGTAGGTGAATCAGAGAGGTTCCTGAAATAAAAAACCTCTAACCCATTGATGATGGGAGGAAGATCCGAACCGGAGGCTGCGGAAATCTGTAGAGAATTTTCTTGATTGAGATTAACAGGAAGGCCAGCTGAAGTTGAGCATATGGTTTGTGGTTTGAGATACTCGAGCTTTACAGATTGCGCAATGGTGTGGACGCCATTCAAGACAATACTCATTTCTCGGAGCGTTCCAGAGTCCAACTTCTCAATCTCAGCGAAATGAAAGCAGAAATAGAATGTAGAGGTGGTGGCGTAAGGAGTCCATCCGTAGACGAAAGGAATGCTGGAATTTAGGGTTCCATAGGCGGTTTTCAACATTGATTCTGGTAATTCGTAAGAATCGTTACTGCTGCGTCTGATGCTCGCGTCCGTCTGCAACTTCTTCAACGATCCGTCGTCATACGGTATCCAGATTCGATCATCAACATCCTGCGGATATCTGTTGGAGAAATGAATCCGAGAGGAGAAACAAGAACTAGTGAAACTGATCGAATCGATTACCTGACATTATCGTCGGTGCCGAGTCTGCCGACGTCGTAGCGAAACCACAAGACCATGAACAGCTGGTCGTCGGTGCGGTAAATGGAGTTATCGAAGCGTCGTAGTTCCAAGACAGAAATGTAAGGGACTCCACTTCCAATATTCACAAGGCATACGTCAATGTAATCCGTGGTAGGCACGTAAAAGGCTTCTTCTCTGGTATCGTCGGTCGTCACCGTAGCCCACAAATTAACGCCGAGATAGATGTTAAAAACAGGGGTGGAGTTTTTGCGGTCGTAATTGCCGTAGACGAAGAAGGCTCTGATCAAGTAATTGTTGCTTCTTCCCGCCTCTGGCTTGAGCGTGTAGCAGTTCTTCACTCCCTCCGGAAAGCTTCTCAGGTTTCTGTATTGCAGACCATTATATTCTTCGGCAACCCCCGGGGAAATCTGACTGCTCACTCCTGTATGTATCAGATCCTTGTCTGATATGTATGGTAACCCCGTGTTGAGTTCTACCGAGTCGTCAACTGCACCACAGTCGATGCTCATGAAATCTGAGAGAAATTAGTTAGAACTAATACCACATAACTTAACTTTCCTTCCAATTATAATAAAATAATAAGATGATCTTGACGTACGAGTACGACTGATTCTGAAAGAATTTGAAATTGAAAAGAAGTAACAAACAAAGGAAAGTTGGATTAGAGCGTTACCGGGAATGCCGCGAGCAAAGTTGCAGAGGAACAGGGAGGCGATGACCAAAAGGAAGAGGTCGAAGGTGGCGGCCATGGCGGAAGTCGGCGACGGCAACTCAACGGCAACGGAGCGATACAGCTATTTATTGTCATTCTGGTTTTTACGAGTCAGTATCAGTCACTGTCATTACTGTTTACGAGACCTGGTCTGCGATATAGACTTTCCCTTTCTCGTCGTATTTATATCATGGTTCTAGATATCGTCCATCCTTCCGGAGGTTCGGTACGACATTTCTACCCAGAAAATCGATAAAACGCGAAAAATATTAACGAAATGTCACTGATATATATATAATATATTAATATCAATTATTTTTTACTAATTTAACAATGGAAAAACATTTATATGTTAATTTAAATATTTTTTACGATTTTTTAATATTTTTAACTTTTATATAAATATCCATCAACATTGATATTTTATCAATATTTTCATGAAATTGAGACCTCAACATTTCCATCAACATCGACATTTAATACCTTGGTTTATATATCTAACCCTATCCAGCATCATTAAGACCAAATAAATTCCCTTCCAATTGTGTCATGGAATAGTTAAACAAAAGTTAATTATGAAAATATCGAGAGAGTTATATGAAATCCATCAATACCTTCGTATAAGAAGAAAGTAGGACGTTTATCTTGTAGCTTAATAGTCAAGCCACCTATATAAGTTTTTGTTCATTTTAGTCAATATATTTTCAAAATGTCTATTTTGATTCAAGTACTTTTCATTCAAATTTTTATATACAATGGAAACTCTCTATAACTAAATTTCAAGAAATTTAACAATAGAGTGTCATGTGTTAAAATTGTAATAGAAAGAAATGAGATAAAAATGAATTTAAATGGACTAAATTTAATAGCCATTGTTATAAAGTAATAGGAACCAAAATGAACGACTAAAACAAACAAAAATTAAAAGTTCAAAAACTCAAAATAAACATTTTGAAAATACAATAAATAAAATGAATAAAAATCGAAATAATAGCGACCAAAATAGTATTTAAACCCACCGATATATTTTCTAAGGTCGAAAGTTCGGTACTCGTTGAACTCGTCAAAAAGGAAAAAGAAAACTCGCTTCTCGGTCCATCCTATTACTAATTCCTTTTCTTTTTCATCGCTATGTTCATGTTTCCTTGTAAAGGGATAAAGGCCTCATATCATATCAAACCAATTTGTTGAGCTCAATTAATTCCAAGCTAACTAATACACCTAACCCTATCCAACAATTAAGACCAAATAAATTTTTTTCTCAACAATATACCAAAAACTCAATAAGGGACCACTTTAATCAAAATTCCAAAACCATTTGATAATTATGCAAATTTTTATTTTTATTTTTTAATATTCGCAAATGTCTGGGCGAATTTTTGCATCCAGACTAATCTCACAAACAGCTAATATGAAGGAAAAAATTATGAAGAATAAATTAATTAACACACAAAATTTTTAAAGTGATTAAGTTATAACTCACTTTTGTTGGCCAAAGGAGCAGCATGAGAAGGATGAGAAAGGCAACAATAACAGTATTAGCTGACTTTTGGAGAGCCACCTCTTCTTCTCCTCTAATTCCAAATGACACCCCAATTTCTATTACTTATATTGCTGCTTTGTTTGAATCACAGCACAGCCCTCCATTTGACTTTCAACTTTTATAATCCCTTACTCTAATCCCATAAACTAATCCCTTACTCTAATCCCATAAACTTATCCCGTCAAACTGAGCATAACAGTAATTGACATGTACTTCTAACCAAGAAGTTGTCAATTCAATCTCCTTCTCAACATGTTATATATATATATATATATATCATAAACTTATCCCTAGCTTGCTCCGTACAGTTTTATATATTTATCTTGATTTGGGTATTGTATATAAATAATCAAAAGAGTGAATTTTGAGTTTATATTGGGAAATTTCTTTATCCTATTCATTTACAGTCTTTCTCTAACTCATTTGAAATTTAGATTAAATTATAAGTTTAAGTTTGATTCATGAAGTTTTAAGACTACGTTATTTAATCTATGTACTTTAACTTAAAAAAAAATAGAGTAGGTTTGTGATCTTTGGTGGTTGTCCGATGTCTCGAAGAATAGGCTCCGTGCCCAATCAATAAAATCTAAAATGGGTCAACTGTCTTTTCTCCTTACATTCGAATGCTACATCCCAAGGTCCAAACAGTTTTCTAGAAGAACCTTCGTTGTTACTATACTTCACAAAAAAAAATGTTTTTTTTATTTATAGTGAGTCAATTTATACTTTATATTGCATAAATATCTATTAGGTTAATTATCTACGAAATTAGATTTTCAAATTTGAATGAG